AAGAGTGTGTTATGTTTGGCTAATGTTCCTTCACATTTAAAAAATTCACTGATCCATCAAAAAAGAAAATCCAAAGCAAACTGTGAAGTCATAATGTGTTGCTGACCACCTTTGAGAAGTCAGAACCAGGCATGTTATCTGTGCAGCTGCCACCTGCCTGTCTCATCCCTTTAACAGACTTAATGTATGGAAATACACAACTGGAGCATTTCATGGAATGGCTGACATCTCCTTAAACCTCTATCAAAGGGATGCCCTTCCTCCTCCACAGTTCACAACCTAATCTGCAAGGAGTAAGAAGACATGGAACCTAGTCCCTCATTCAAAATACCATTTTCAAACAGACAAACAAAAACAAACCGATTGATATCCTTCTGTCTTAGATGAGGCAACTGATATAGGGAAGGGAACAAAATTCTGCCAGGTTGAAACACGGACTAGTACTCAGATCAAACTCAAGTGGGGGGTGCCTTCTCTTTCTTTTGAACTACAGCCAAACAACGTCCTTCTCACACACTTAGCTGGAATGAACAGGCAATGAGCCCTAAGAGATCATTGCCTCGTGAGTCAATTATTGTATACCTTTGTAGGAAGAAGAGGGGAAAACTAACCGCCTGTAAAGGCTAGACAAAGACAGACCTAATATAGGAGCTGTAGTCCAAAAAAAGGTGAAGCATTGGTAGTTTTCACATTTCTATGTATTTTCTCCTTCTGTGCTTGATTGCTGGTTTGAGTGGGAGTTGAAGACTAATTTGTAGGGGAAAGGAGGGTGCTATTTGGACAGAATTGCCCCAGCACCACTGCTCATTTCCCAGGGACAGGAAACTGTATGTGGGGAGCAACCTTCTGAGATATGTTTTCAAGATGTAATGGGTTTCTGCTCCTGTGCCCCATAGGGTTGAGAACTGATCCTTTAGGGGGAAAAAAAGTCCTGTCCCTTTAATACAGACTTAATGGGATGTCATCAACTAGGTGACTTGCTTCCATGCCAGAAAAAGCTTCAGATACCCTTTCCATACATTAAATCTCTATTTAAGGAATAGGACATTATTTTCTCCAGGCAGCTGGCAGCTTTAATGCACCAAAACAGGAGGACAGTTGCTCAGATTAACAAATAAATAAAGCAAATGAACATAGCTCTGGGTTCTAGCTAAATACCACAACAACTCTCGAAATATGTTTTACTAAACAATTTTTCTCTTTCCTTTGATCTGGGAATACTGGGTGTCTCTTATCACCAAGGAGCCATATATGATATCCTGCATCAGATCACAGTGGCATTAGCTGGTGATGGAATGCTAGTGTTAGGTGTGTTGACAAGTTCTGCCGCATCTTTTTGGAACAGGAGAATCCAGTTAATCATCCCTAGTGCTCTGTATTTATGACTAAATCACATCAATTGTAATTAGGAAAATATGAAGTTGCAGACAACTTCAAGCGTGACTCCTAGAGTGCCAGTGGGCTGTTTATCTCAAGCTGCATGGGGGGAAAAATTCACTGTCTTTATGTTAATTTTAAAAAGAAGCTCTCAAAACACAAAACTTTATCAAGAATAAAATTTCAGATATGACTTAGCCACTGTTAAATAAAGTATGTAATTCTGGCACACCCTTCCTGTCAATGCCTTAAGGCGATCTGTTGCATTCATAAACCCTTGTGGGAAATTTGTGTCCTGCCCTACTTGGTTACATATGTATGTGCCATCAAGTTGCAACTGGCTTATGGTGTCTCACCAAAGGGCTTTCAGAGCAAGAGACAACAGAGGTAGTTTGACATTATTTTCCTCTGCAGAGCCTTCCTTGGTGGTTTCCCATTTAAGTACTGATCCTATCTAGCTTCCAAGATCTGACAAGGTTGGGCTATGACATGCCGCCTACCCTCCCTCACTGCTCGGTTGCACCGCAAAACCTTCTCCCTTCTTCAACTGCAGTCTGCCCTCTCCCTTTTGTATTTGCTTGCTTGCTTGCAAAGTAATTAATTTTTAACTCGTTACAAAGTAAGTCCTTTCCTATCCTGTTCTCAAGGAAGGCGACAGAAGTCTACTCTGCAAAATATATCAATAAATCACCAAGGGTTGCATGCTACTTAGTTGGATCCTATCATCAAGGGAAAATCCTCCATTAGAAAAAAAAATCCACTGGAAAAAGGTTGTATTCTATTAAGCAAAGACATTGGAAAGGATTCACAGGATTCAGCGCCACAATACTGAAAACACATTTTTTAAAGTATTAGGGTTGCAAACTGCCTAAAAAAATGCCCTGTCCCTTTACTAGACACTTAGTGAGATGTGATTTAACTGTTGAGGATTCTGAATAGCTCAGACTAGTGAGCTTGGAAGCTAAGCAGCATTGGGCAGGGTAACTATTTGGATGGTGGACCACCAAGGAAGATGGGTTGCTATGCAGAAGAACAAAATGGCAAATCATCTCCACCCATCTCTTGCCTTGAAAACCCTGTGGGGGGTCACCATAAGTTGGTTGCGACTTGACGGCACATCATCATCATCATTCAGAGGATGTTATTTACCTCAGTCCATGAAAGGCTTTAGCTGCCCATTTCTACACTTCGTTTCATCAGGCAGTTGGCAGCCCTAATTATGAGTCTCCCAGATCCTAGTCTAATCATACCACCATGCCGTTAAAGGCATAATACTTAGGGTTGCCTCTGGGTTGGGAAACATCTGGAGATTTTGGGGGTGGAGCCTAGGGAGGGCGGGGTTTGGGGGATGAGGGACCTCTGCAGGGTATAATGCCATAGAGTCCACCCTTCAAAGCAGCCATTTTCTCCAGGGTTGTCTGGAGATCAATTATTACATCTGGAGATCTTGAGGTGCCACCTGGAAGTTGGAAACTATAGAATACCTTGCCATGGCAATGTGAATTTGGCAAATGGACAGCAATACCAAGAAAGACTATTGTCAGGATCCAAGCTGGCACAGAGTTTTATATAGGAAGAGGAGCAAAGGTCCTTCCTTAAATAGGGTACAAGGTTAAAGACAGGATCTCACTGGTTCAGTGGGACAGAAAACAGAAACGAAGGGCACAAATTAATCAGGATGGTGGATTCTTTGGTCAGAGAGATAGATAGCTGCTACCTCATTCCATTTGACATGCAGTGTCTGGCACCTGCTTTCACATGATAAATATCTCCTAAATTCCTAAATGCAGAGCTAACGCCCACTGAGCTTTCAATTTATGGCACGTGTATGCAGCATAGCATATGCAGTGTTAATCAGAGATAATGATTGTTGAGGTCAGCGGCTTTACTCTGAAGAAAGTACATACAGTATCATAACCTTAATGTATAAAATGTTGTCTTATGGCATTTTTTGTGAGGCAGAAAAAAGGAGAAGAACATTGCTTGGAGTTTTAAATTGCGCCTTAAAATGGAATGGAACATTTGTCACTATGTGCAGTCATACGACATGGTGAAGCACGGATCAGCTTCCATTGGACTCAGAAAATCCAACCTCTAAAAAAAGGCAAGCAAGGAAGAAAGAACGGGAGATACAAGTAGGATTGCCAACTGTCTCGAGAAAAGGAGAAGGAAAACTTCATACAGCTGTAATTCCCTGTCTGTTAGAAAGCTGGGATTGGTGACTTGAAAGCTGTATATAAACTAGTGCTAGATGAAGGTGGCGTAGAATTCTAGACTAAATCTATATAAATAGCCTTTATCTTTAAATTCCACCAGCAGTTCCACTTTGTTCCAATAGCCTTTCATATTCCTATACCTTCACCTTTACCAATTTTCTCCCCTTGCATTGTTCAGCTGCCAACTGCCCGGAGAAAAAAATGTTCTGTCCCTTTAATAGAGGCTTAACGGGATGTTATTTACCAGATGATGTTACTAACCCCCATGCCATGAAAGGCCTCAGCCACCTATTTCCACTCATTAAGCCCCTGTTATAGGAACAGGACAAATTTTCTTTTCCATAAAACCAACAAATTAGAAATTATTTTTTCTACAGAAAACTTAGGTTTATCCACATGCAAATTTAAATGATTTATCAGCAAATATTTCTTTAATTGAGTGAAATGTCTGGTAAATACACAACTACAAATTGTTTCAAAATGTTTTTGCTTCTAAATTATTAGAAATAAATTAATTTCCCCTAAACAATAGTAGCAGTTTGTTTCGGCCTTCTCCTTAAATTTATTTAGGTCTCTATCATGTAAGTCTCTGCATCTGCTAATCAGTCATATTTTTAAAACTTCGGTATCACAGCAGGTAACTTCATAGGTCGAAAGCTTGAGAACACCTTCCTGGGAGCAAGCCCCATTGAATAATATCACATCACGCTTACTTCAGAGTTGAGCTGCTTAGGGTTGTTTCAATAGCCTGCTTGTTACTTGGCAAAATATTTAATTCAGCTTCAGTAGGAAAGAGACTCCTAATCACAGATTATTGGAATAACATACTGCCTATTGCATTTTATGAATTTACCCCCACCCTCCCCCTTCCACTTTCTAAGATAGAAAAATCAGGCAGTAACAAACTCTTCTTCTTACATTTGGCTTGGGTCAGAATTTTCATTTTATTAGTTTTAATGTAAGACTCCAATTGCCAAAGAAGCAAGTTTTTATTTCAAAGAGAAGAGAAAATTTAAGAAAAAGAATGTCATTGCTTTCCTTTATAACCAACAATCTCATTCAGGCTGCTAAACTAAAATGCAGTTTCAACACACACACATTTTGTTTTTGGACTTCAGTCACTCCAAGAACACATGAGAAATCACTCTCTTCATTGCTTATATTCCATTCTTTAAAACCTGTTAGGGTCTTAAAACCAACTAAAACATTAGCAACTGTTCAAACCAGTAACAGCATTTTATGCCCAATAGAATTTCAAACACTGGAATACAGATATGGCTTTTAATGCTTGGAAATTCCCTGAAGCCTAAACACCATAACTACTCTCATTTGAGATTTCTAAAACTTGTAAGTTAAACTGGGGGGGGGGGGGGGGACATTGCTTTATTTAACATCCGTTTTACTCACCACTTCCCTCCCAAACAGAGCCTTGCTTGCGAAATGATCCATAATGAAGAGAGAATGCAATTTATCTTTTCCTTGTTAGAAAGGGTACATTTTTTTTCTGCCAGAAGAGAATTATGAACTGAGTCTGCTGAGCCCTTCCTAACACAAAGGAGCTCAGTGGCAAATGCGTTTAGAACGATCTGGGTAGTGGCATTTTATTTTGTGATTCAAATGTTAAGTATGTCTCACTTGAATGAATGCTTGCAAAACATGTAATAAGGAAGAAAAAAGGAAGAAAGAAGCTACATGTCTCCTAGTAATATTACCACTTGAATTTTTTTGCAGCTCAGGTTACCATGTGTCATTTTACTCTGCCACTCCCAAAAATAAAAAAGAAAGAAAGAAAAGACATGCCAAGTCCAGCCTCTGTGGGTGTATTGTGGAAGAAAACTGAAGGAAAACAAACTTCAGACCAGAGGCTTACAATTAGATACTCTTTCTATGTAGACATTTAATGAGAACAATGTTATACAACAAAACTCTGTTTTCATGCTCTTCATGAGGAATTTTGAACTTTGCATGCAACATTTAGTGAGCTCTTTCACTACATGTTACTGCAGTTTTCATGATGGGTTTTACATCCCTGTTTACTTGAAACTGTTCAGTGCATCAGCATGGAAGCAAGTATACTCTGTCTAAGTATCTGATAAAGGGAGTTTACCACCTCTGTATCGGAAGGTTTCATATAGTTCCCTGCAGCCCTATTTACTGCAGCTACCAATCACTTAAGGGCTACTTAGGCCCTGGTCACACGGGAGGTTTTGGCCCGCAAGAGGGATGGATCGGGGGCGCAGCAAACGGGCACGATCACACTACAACATCTGGGAAGCGGCGCACACCCATCCCCGATCCGTCCCTTCAGGCTGAAAACGTGCATAACCCCCCCCCAGGAAATAGTAGTACCAAACTGAAACGCCACAGCAAGCGCGGCTGTGGGATCGCCAGCGCGCCCGTCTTCAGGAGCATTCGAGGCTCGTGGCCGAATTGCACATGTGTACACATGCGCAGCCGGCTGCCTTGCTCTCCCTTCCGTGGCTTCCCCCCTGGCATCTGAGCATGCCGGGGAGCAACTGCGCGGCAGATCAGGGGATCTGTCTGATCCCGCCGCTGCGTGTCTCTTTCGGTGCGGCTCTAAAAAGGTCATAAAGTCTGGAAAGAGGAAAGATGGAGATATAGAAAGGAAAGTTTAGGAATCCAAAGGTTGTGTAAAGATTGTAGACAAGTAGAAGGTTTGAGACAGAAGAACAGAAGACGGAGGAGGAAAGAGAAAAATAAATTGTACAAAAGCATAAAGTTTGGTGTTTGCTAGATGTAGGATTACTTGGAAAAAGACCCCCCAAAAATTATTTTAAAAATGAATTTTCTTTGGTAGTGGTGGTAGTTAGATAGAGTTACTTACTAGTATTATTATTTGTTTTCCCAGTAATTTATAGGGTTTGATTGGAAGAATGAGTGTTTAAGACGGGGAATGTGGGTGTGTTTGGAAAAAAGTTCTTGAAAAATACTGTAAATCTATATTTTCATTTGTAATGACGTTATAGGGTTAAAGTTATGCATATGCTGGATAATATGAGCATAAGAAAGAGAGTGAACACCAAAAGGTCAATTTATTAAAGGGGAGTAGAAATTTATATAATGAGATGTGAATGTTTGGGGCAAATAATGAACTTGGTAGAAGTATGAATGAAAGGGTTGATTGGTAGGGGGAAATTAATTAATTGAGACATAAATGAGAATTGGGACTAACTAGTAAAATATTTGGAATGTGAGGTGATAGATAATTAATTAGGAGGAAGTAGAAATGGAAGATGGAAAGATTAAATTTGTATATTTGGAAGAATGAGTGTGACGATTAAATTATAAATTTGCAAGGGGTAAATTAAATGGTATATATGATAAGTAATAGTTATTGAAATTGGATGTATTTTGAATAAGTAGGTTGTAAACCAATTAATTGGGGTATTAATATGATAATGAATGCAGTAATAATTTAAAGAGAACTGAAGGAATGTAAGGCCTCGAGCTGGACCTGTAAGAGAGAGTTACTAGTCCAAAGAACTTACAGTCATATACTAAAAGATGGACAAGCCACTGTAGGAATGTTTAAAAGAAAACTAAAAAAATAAAGGAGGGTGATGTAAAAGGAAAGACTGTGAAGAGATTGTTTGAAGGTCTGTTTGTATATTAAGAAATAGATGTGTATTGTGTAAAGAAGGATATATGGGAAGTAGGAAAAGGGAAAATTAGGTGCTTCTTGCTATGGTGTTTCTATGCATTTATTTATATACAATAAAATAAAAAATAAAAAAACTAAGTCAACAGGATGTAAGAGGGAGGCTGGGAGCTGAATAAAGAAGGTAAATGGCTTGAGAAGCTAGAATAAGGCCATACAATACTAATAAGAGTTGGGGGAAAAAAAGGTTAAAGATAATTGAAATATTCTCTAATCCAGATAGGATAGGAGTTTAAATAAACATAAGAGAATAATTTTTCTCGTTTTTCTCTTTACTTGTAAGATTTTTCTGTGTTGCTGGGAAAGAAAATGATGTCTAGAAATTGTGGGTGTAATTGTTGTTACCTACTATGTATATATGTAAAATTCGGATGTATAATGGCAAAACTCAATAAAAATATATTTTTTAAAAAATAAAAAGCCACACTCTGGCTGCGTCAATTTCCCCCGTGTGACCGGGGCCTTAGATTAACATCTAATGGTATATTAAAAAAAACCTACAGCATTTATTTATGACTGATTTAATTGTCTATGGCTACATCCAAAGCAGCTGAACACCATTTCCCCTGCATCTCCCTTTGGCAGCGCCACCAGTGGACTTAAAAAATAATCATTATAACTGTTGTGAAAATGTGCACTATCATTCTAATGTGCTGTATGACTACAACCTCTGAATTCCTAGCCTCATTTAAAAACAAGTCTCTAGCCAGTTTCCTTGAGGATTACAGACTTTCTTAAAAAATAAAAGCTGGAAATTCTGAGATTTTAGCAACAGATCATTAGAACTGTTGCAAAAGCAACTGCTGATTTTTTTAAAAAGTCATCAAAATGCACCAGTGGCATGGCAAGGAAAATGGCAGCAATGGCTGCAAGAGAAGCTGATTCAGTATATTGCACTATTAGTAAAAAAATACAGTGACAGAGGCTGATTTCGCACTAGAGCTGCCTCGATGTTGCGCTGCTGTTTGCCCTGATACTATTGGTCAAATTTACACCCGAAGCTGCGGGGCTGCATTTTGACTCGTGGCTTCGCCCGATTCCCCCCGCAGTTTTGTGATCCTGTTTTTTGAGGATCACGAAACTGCGGAGGAAATCGGGCGAAGCCACGGGTCAAATACAGCCCCGCGGCTTCGGGTGTGAAATTGACCAATAGTATCGTGGCAAACGGTGGCGCAACATCGAGGCAGCTCTAGTGGAAATCAGCCAGTGTGAACAGCCACAAACAGGCTGACAAACAGCTGAATCTATTATCAAAAAAATCAGCTTGTGACTGGTGAATAATAATAATAATAATAATAATAATAATCTTTCAATTTATTAATCGCTCAATCCTGCAGAGCTGCTGGCTCTGAGCGATTTACAGTTACACATTTCACAAGGGACTAACAATGATTCATAGGGGTAAGGGAGGACAACACATATAAATCTTTTAAATTGCACACGTTTGCAGCTGACGGGGATTTTGTTTCAGCTGTAGACTAGACATGTTCCAGGCGGCATTTTTCCCTCGGCTTGGCTTGATGACGTCAGCTTTCTCCAGGACTGTTTCGAGTCACAACGCCGCACTGCCACCGCCTGGCCGGAACAGCCCATTACAGGCATCTTGATGCCGAAGAAATCTTTCTAGGCTTCTGATCTTACGAGCTGGACATTCCGTTCGCCGGCTAACACCTCCCCCGCCGGGGGGTTTAGTGTGCCCACCCTCTCTAAGGAGTGGTACCCATTTTATCTACTTGCTGAAGCTTTCGAACCGCTGGGTGGACGGCGAGCTGGGGACAAGGCTGGTAGCTCACACCAGCACGGGGCTAGAACTGACAGCCGTTCTGTTCAGCTCAGATGTTACTTTATAACCAGAGGATAAATCCCCTGTGCCACCGCTCCCATCTCATGATCTGACCTGGTGGATATTTGAGCATCCTAATTTTGGTTAGATTTGAGTCCAGTAGCACCTTAGAGACCAACATGGCTATTTGTTTACCTTACATAGTTTTATAGTGTATTGCATATGTGCGGTGGATCATAGGACTGGTAACAGGCTTCGAGTACAGTGCTAGGAGAAGGAAGCAGCTAGGCATTATTGGAGAGGAACAGTATTAAGTGGCATCTGCATAGCATCAAATTGTGGCATCCTATACAGTATCAAAAGGCCTACTGGAAAGATTGCATGTCTTATCAGTGGCGTGATGTTGTGCTGTTGTAAAACTGTCACAAGAGGCTTTAGTAGTTGTTTCAAGGCAGGTATGCTATAGCCATAGATTTTTGCCACACTTGATCAGAAAAGGGTTGTGCTATATGCGGCACAAGTCTCTGCTTGCTCTGAAACAGCTAAAGGGTACTCACGCTGTAAATCTCTTAATTGTTCTCAACGAACAACCAGATATTTATAAAAGGAGGTTTCAGCAACTTTTGCAAAAACACTGAAATGCAGCAGCTTATCAAGAAATCATCTTTCTTATTTCCCCCCCTTTGAAATTGGCAGCCAAGCAACTGAATATCTCTTATTTGTCCTCACATTTTGTAAAACACAGACAACATTGTCTGTTTGCATGGAATTGTGAACCCTCTGGCCTTGCCAATTACAGTCAGGATGTCTTGAGAGCTTTATTTATTGTTTCAAACTGGGTGAATGGAGGCCAAAGAGTTTAAAATATTTCCTTTCAGCTTGTGAGTCCAATCTCCAATAATTTGTACCCCCATCACTCTAGCAAATAGAATAATAGTTCTTGTATTATACCTTGTCTTCTGTTCTTTAAGTGAACAGAATATTGGC